AAACTGTCGTATCTGAGCACCTCTGCAAAGACAGTGATTATGTGAGTGATGTTGAAAGTGCTGAAGTTTTTTCTTTCTTTTTGGGGTTTTCTTTCTTTTTGGGTCACCCTGCCTAGGTAGGAAATGGCAGAAGTGTTAAAAAGAAAAGTAACGTGCGTACTGTACATGCATTTTTAAGACCTAGTTCTATTACTCACTTAATATATGATTCCGTAAACATGTTATCACGCTGTTTTGTGAATTTGAAAATGAAAAAAGGCTGTTTCACTTTACAGTGATTTTTGCTTTACAGCAGTAGCTCAGAACCTAACCTACTGTATAAGTGGGGCCCTCCTGTATGCTGAAATGCAACCAAGGATACAAGCAAGATGCTCTTTAACATTTAATTTACACAATTATATTAGGATTTTCACTCAACTGTACTACCACAACTGGATTACAAGTGATTTGTAAGGTTAATTTTTTTCCACAGTAATGACTTCATTTATGGATGCTGTCCCATGGTAGTGCTACTTGAAGTTCAGCTTGACTATCTCACCGTCCTCCCACCCAGACAATTGAGACGAGGGGTCAGGAGCCGAGCCTTGACCTTAACAACCACAAATAGGCAAGTATACACAAACACAGAGAGAATAAATAGTTATGGGTCATGCTGCAGATAGATAAAATGGTTGCTCATTTCTTACAATGATGGAGTGATAGGGATCCAAGATTATTATTTGAAATTCAATGATAAAGTTAAACAGATAAAAATAATACAAATGGGAAGAAATATTAAAGATGAAACTGAAACTATAGAGAGAAGTAAATAAAATGCAAAATGAGAAAACACAATTATAGCTGTGTTTAAAGGAGAGCTGAAGTGTTAAAATAAATAGAATAAAAAAAATTATTTTTTATGAAACGGTAGAGGACTTTCTTCTGAAAGTAATAAAAAAAAAAGAGCACAAAATTTGATGGAAAACTGACAAGTTACACTCACGCAAATTTTGCTGCATCAGCGATATTTATGCATCGGCAATTTCACCCACTTTGACTCCCATTTTAGGCCAATTACATTATTCCAGTAGACTAAATTCTTAGGTATTTTGCTAGTATTACTTCTATTTTATCGATTGAGCACAAGAAATCACCCAATCAACTGTTTCAACTACCCAGTAAAGTGATCGGAAACTGGTAATTTGACCAATTTCACACTAAGTTAAAAATATTTAAATTTCAAAATAGGGTCCAGAATAAACAATGCAGGTATTTCTGGCACTAAAATAACATTCTTATGTTTATTAGTTATGTTTCCAGGCTTTACATATGAATTCCATTTTGACTTGTTAAACACGTAAAGAATTTTTATTCGCATAAAAAAAAAAAAGATTTACTGTTATGCAATATAGTAACAGTGTAAATAATATCAGCACATTCATGAATGCACATTAGACCCACCAGATGACATGTATTGGATGCGTGACATTTGTTTACTCTTGAACATCAGCAAAAATTGAACATTTCCACTACTTTGATCTTAGTTTCAAGCCATTTTTAGTACTAAAAACCAATGAAAATCATCTCTGCTTCTGTAATATATCTTCCAGTCTATCAAATGTGCCCAAGAAACCATGAATACAACTGTAAAAAAACACATGAAAATACACCACAAAGTAGCCGTTTTAATCCAAAAACACAGTTGCAGTTATTTTTCTCATTATGCACTGCGTGCTGCAGGATTTGTTTTATATTCTGCACACTTACCACACAGATGCATTCTCTCATATCTAGGCCCAAATTTACTGCTCACAGCTTATATGAGTGAGATGAGCTCATGACGTAGTACTACGGCTTGGACCCTGGCTTCAAAGCTACCGGACGGACCCTCAAAGGGTTAAAATACTTGGGTTCTATTATAGAAGATAAGGGCATATAAAACAGTTTCATCACAAAACAGCAAAACAATAATATAAATTAACCAGTACTGAATAGGTTGATAAATGTAATCTATGAATGAAAGGAAATGGTACTGAATGATGCGATACTGTGGAAATAATGATACCATATATACCATGGCTATGACATATTACATCACAAAATATTCAATGGAAGATAAGACAAATTTAGATCAATTTCTTGAGAGGAGGAAGTTCAAAATGAACAAAGCAAATAAGAATAATAATGGTACCATTCAAAGCTTGATAAAACCAGTAAAGAATAAGCCTTTGAAACAGCAGGCCAAAGGAGATAAAGATTACATTAAAAATGACAAAACTGAGGTGTAAAAGAAGATAATCTCCTAAGATAAGGTGAGAGAAGTGATAAGGTAGAGTCAGATAAAAGTTCTCTTCCATTCCAGAAACTCCAAACCACTGGAAAAAATTCAGAACTACAAGTGACTCATTAGGGCTCAACACAACTTCAAACTGGCGGGTTGCAATGTTTTTGACCCAGACTGTACACATGTAATGCAAGTACAACACTAAAGAAAAATCTTTATTTAACTCAACAAACTCAGAATGGAAATCTTTTGCTCAATTCATTCCAATACCACTATGCAACTATTCTAACATTTCACACTTCCATGAATGCAACAATCTTAAACCTCCAGTGTGGGAGTTCCTTATACTATCAACCACACTATGAAAAAGTGTAAATGATGTAACCAATCCTCATTCATTATTACTACTGTACATGAGGATAGGTTATTTATGTGCACATGCACTGTACATACTTGAAAATAGACCAACCTCGTGTACAAGTTGACCCACAGCTTTTTGCCAAAATAAATCCTAATACAGTGAACCCCCGCTTAACGATCACCTCCAAATGCGACCAATTATGTAAGTGTATTTATGTAAGTGCGTTTGTACGTGTATGTTTGGGGGTCTGAAATGGACTAATCTACTTCACAATATTCCTTATGGGAAAAAATTCGGTCAGTACTGGCACCTAAACATACTACTGGAATGAAAAAAGTTCGTTAACCGGGGGTCCACTGTACATATCATGTATAAGTCTGCCCTAAGGTTTGAGGGATATTAGTGCACCATTTGAAAATCAAAGTACTGTACTGGGTGTTGGTATTATGTTTTTCAGTGCAAAAAAAAAAAGAAACTCTCTAAATGTAATTTCTAATAAGAACAAAGGAGCACTGCAGTAGGTCTACTGGCCCATACTAGGCAAATCCTACTTTCATCTAGCCATTCCCATACAACTCTAATGGCAAAGAAGTGCTTTACTGTATAAAAATGTAAAATACCTAAGCACCACAGTAAGTTTACTAGGCCTATGCTATGCGGGTCCTACTCTCAACTAACCATTCCCACTTATTTATTTGTTAAATATATTTTTAAAACTGTGCATTGGTTGTAGAAGCATCACACTACATTTCCAAGGAGCAGCTAAAGCTAACCTCATCATCTATCAAATGTCCCTCAAATTGTAGTCACATGTACAACTCTATAATAACCGGTCATCAGTATTTGAAATTTTCATATGTTTAGTTCTGGCATGCAGGATTTAAGTGTGTAGTGAATATAGAAATAAAGAGGGTCCAGGTAAGCTGCTGATACACAAGGTTGGTAATAAAGGTACATGATACCAACTAGATGGAAAGAGATCAAATGTAAACATTTGGACATAACACTGAAAACATGGGGAAGTGGAAAAGAATCCATCCTCCATAAACCAACGTGTAGTAAAAGGTAACTAAAATGAAGGGAGCAAGGGGCTAGCAACCCCTGCTCCTGAATAAATTACTAAATGTAAAAAAAAAAAAAAAACTTTGGTTTTTCTTTTTAGGTCACCCTGCCTCAGTGGAAGACTGCTGGTAGGTTATAAAAAAAAAATTGGTTTTGGAACCTTTGAGTGACTGAGATCCCAGGACTGATAAAACGTCTTAGTGTTTGCATTATAATACCATAATACCTTTTTCCCAAGTACAGATACACAGGGATGATGGTTGGGTGAAAGTTGAATCCACCTAACATGGGCCATTAGGTCTACTGCGGTACTCTTATATCAATGATTTTATGTAGGGGTTGTCCTAGTAAAGGATGAGGAAAGGGGGTAAAAGGTTTTTGTATGCAAGGGACTTGGACACGTAGCAAGCACGTGTGAGCGTATTAGATAGGTGTGAATGGAGAGGAATAGTTTTTGGAACCTGACAAGCTGTTGGAGTGTGAGCAGGGTAATATCTTGTGAAGCGATTCAGGGAAACCAGTTAGCCTGGAAACTAGTCGAGTTCTGGAGGTGAGAAGTACAATGCCTGCACTTTAAAGGAGGGGTTTGGGATACTGGCTGTTTGGAGTGACATCTAAACTGTCATATCTGCACGCCTCTTCAAAGACGGTGATTTTGTGAGAAAGATGGAGAAAGTGTTTCTTTCTGTTTTGGGTTAACCTGCTTCGGTAAGATATGGCCAATTTGTTGAAAGAAAGATATCAAAACCCTAGTTTGGCAATAGTTGTACAAGAACAGAGAGTGTGATTGTGGGCAGGACCTAACTATAATGATGAGCAGGACTACTGCAGTGCTTGATAAAAATTTCCAAAGAGTGAAATGTAGTTAAATAAAATACCCAAAAGTGCAGTGCTACTCTATTCTTGTGCTCTTTTATATAGGGATTACAGTTTACAGATTTCAATCATTCAGTATTATTAACCATGAGTAAGTTGACCCCCTATATTTTTTGCCCCAAAAAACTGACCTTGGAACCTTGACCTATACTCATGTATATTAGGTCTACATATGTAGCATACAGTGTATGTATGCATACTGTATAAGTATGTATACTATAAAATATATAAAATGCATTTTATAAAGTAATGCCTTATAGTACACAGTTTAATAGCTACACAAAATAAAATTTAAAAATCTCTCAATTCACTGAGAGGAAACCAAGATTTAGACTATTTGTTTGAACTACAGTATATGTACTACCATATACAAATTCTCCCATACATCTCATTATTATCCCATACCCTAATGGTAACCTGAAGGGAAATTCCCCCAAGTAATACCCCAAGGGCTCATCCTACCGTCTGAGTGCTGGGGCTTCTCGGCCAACCAGGAGAATTCACGGTCTCAAAATCATCCGGCTGTGAGTTCATGGATGCAGCACCAGGTGATGGGGCAGAGTTGATGGGAGTGGGAGGATGAGAAGGTGGATGCTGTCCGCCCGGCATTCCACCCGGCATGCCAGATCCACCCATGGGGCCATCTTTGTGAGGTTTTGGTGTGCCTGATCGGTCTTCCCCAGATGCTGCAAGAATAATGAAACATTACAACAAGCATGTAAACATCAAAATTACTCCAAGAAGCTTTGTGTTCAATTTCATAAGGAATCTTAACCTAAATTAGTTTACCAAAGCATGTAATATATTGTAAAAATACCTCACTGAAAATAACCTGGGTAACTTTCAACTTTTCTATAGTAAAATAAAATACATAAAATTCCATTAGGGTATACAAAACGCTTAAGTTCAAGGAATCTGAGATCTCGGCTTTCTAGACAGAAATTCTCTCTCCTGCTTAACTTTACTGTAACCTTGCAAACTCTTTCCTTCTGTAACGACTTCACATCACGTAATAGCAAAAATAAAGTCACGATCTGGTTATTCTCCCACAACCTATATCAGTGTTTGTGGATATACAACAAGAGACCAGGCACTTCTTAAATGTCTGGAACCTACATGTTCCAATTACTGTCAGACGGATTGCATGACAAAAGGAGTCTTTTGTTGTAGCTAGGTGGAACATCTCAGAAACTTTAAGGACATTAAAAAATCTGTGACATATGTACCAGAAATAAGTCTAGAGCCACAACAGGGAGGTTTAAATGTGCCTCAGGGACCCACTCAAATAATCAGAACTACCCAACTGGGCTTTGTTGTCAAGTTCCAGCTAGGATATTTCATCAAAGGAAATCACTTCAATCTATCATAGAAAACCAGAGCAGGCCTACATCAAGGGATATATGCCACTCAGCTGATGCTGACACTACTGACAAGGCCTGGAACACATACACTGAGATGAACCCAACAACAAATCTGTGTTAGTACTAGGGCTTCACAGGTAGACAGCTCAAAACACCTCATCTCAAAAATTGTAATACAACTTCTTTAGCCACTATAAAGGGAACAGACAAATTACCCAGCAGCACAGCAAGCCTGACAGTGCACCTGACATCACTGCTCCAGCACTTGCCAGAATACCTGGCAGCAGTGCCCCATCTGCTGATACCGAGTCAAGTTTGATTCCACCAGAGTCCCGTAGCTCGATCGCTAGCACACTCAGCTCACACTCTAAGGTCCAGAGTTCGAATCCCCGGTACAGCTAGATAACATTTAACGTGTTTCCATAAGACACCTGATGTCCATGTTCACCCATCAGTATAAAATGGGTACCTGGTGTGGATTGCCTCCTGGGACAAAACTGACCTAATTTGCCGAAATGCTCTGCATAATAAGTGGCTTTCTATATATAGTAGTATGTCATTGATGTCAGCTAGGCCTGTATACCTTGTACATGTACTTGTAGAAATAAAGATATTATTATACAGTGGAACCTCAAATATCGAACTTTCTTCATTCCAGACGGCTGTTCAAGTGCCGTTACCGAACGAATTTATTCCCATCAGGAATAATGTAAATTAGATTAGTTTATTTCAGACCCTCAAAAATACACTTATAAAAGCACTTACAAAAATACACTTACATAATTGATTGAGTTGGGAGCAGTTCGATATTTGAGGTTCCACTGTGTATTATATTATTATTAGAGATTGGTGCAGCTATTAATCAGGTGACTGCGCCTGAACAAGTGCTGGACAAGGACATGGTAGAGGACGTGGAAGACACCTGTAGCTGTCTCACCTTCCACCAACACAGTCCCAGAAAAACACTCACCTGGTATATAATCATCGGGCTCACCAGCAGCAGAACCTATAGAAAAATCAGCTGTTGCTTCAGCAACAAATCATATGAAGTGCATGAAATAGGAGTCCACCCTCCCCAGCACATAAGCAGTGCTCTTATTGTCACCGAAGGTGGGTACACCACTAACAACCACTTGCAAGATACCAGGTGCAATTACTACCACAAGAGGGGACATCAAGAAAACCACTGTCGTAAAAAAAGGAACTTGACAGACAGGATCACCAGTTCTTTAGAGATCTGTTCTCAGAACAAACCAGCAGGATATCAGAATTGGTGAATACACACATCACCCTCCCAGCTATTCCTATCTTGGCTCAGCAGGTGCCCCAGTGTCCTACCTGTCTCTGCAAGCACCTTACACACCCATTAACTCAAGCTGAACACAATCATGAGGAGCCAGTATATCAGCATCCTATCAGCCAACATTCGAGGCTTCATTAGGAATGTTGAGGAGCTCAGGCACAGATTCATGAATACTCAATGTCTGGACATTATCAACATTGTTGAGACATTTTTGAATGACAGGATTCCAGAAAATTTTGCTAGAATTGCTGACTACACCTCATGGATAAGAAGAGACAGGCAAGGTGAAGGAGGTTTTGCTGTGTGATTTTTCTAAAAGTGTACATGCCCAGCTCATTGATGTTGCCATCCTAATCACCTGGAAATGATGTTCAAGGTATGCATAAACACTAGAACTTCTGTTCTAGCATGTGCAATGTACAGACCTCAGTGGCAACAAGTAGACCCCGAAAACTTCCTAATGGAAAAAGAGGACTCCCTTCTGCTTCAACATAAATGTCAACATCATATAATTGTTGGTGACCTCAACTAACATTTTATACAGAGATTCTGATGACTCTCTTGCAGTGTTTGACATGGAAAACTTTGACTTCCTTACTCACATCTCTGGCTTCCCCCTTGACCCAGTAGCAAATGATCTATTTGAAGGCATAGTTGCTTACCAACCCCTTGGCTATGTTGGCAATGTTGAATCATCTGACCACAGGGTGTCTTTACAGCACTGAAGATTCCAACAGAATAAGGCAAGGAATCTGCATGCATAACCTGGACTATGGGAGAGGAAACTGGCCGGCCCTTTGCTCTGAGTTTGCTACCTCTGACTGGAATGCTCTTCTCCAAGGTGATGTTGACAACCAAGTGAATGCCTTCATTGAACATAACCTTAATCTCCAACAAGAACACATCCCTCACTGGCAGAAATGTGATGAAGCCTTCAGATCAGCCTTAGTTTGGCTTTCTTTGCCGAGAGGCTGCTACTGCTAAGTACAAGGCCTGGAGAAGGTATAGGAAGCATCCCACTACCTGTAACAGGAACTTGCACATGCAAGCCTGTTGGCAAATGGAAGAAGTCCAAAAGTGGGCCATCTCTAGATGGGAGGCTGACACAAAAAGAAAGTTGGCATCAAGTAGAGTAGGCTCCAAAACCTGGTGATCCTTGGTCAAGGACCAAAAAGGTTATTCACCCGATGAAATTATTCTGCCTCTAAATCGGCAGGATGGAACCATCTCTACAAGCAGTCAGGAGAAGGCTGACAAAAACTTTACTGCCAAGATGCAAGTTCCTGATCCAGCAAGGGAACCTCCTTTGCTAGTCACAAGAAGTGTCAAGATGTCAGTGGCAACAACAAGGCAGGAAGTGTATCTTCTACTTAAATTGCTGGACCAAGAAAGGGCTGTGGGCCCAGATAAGTTGAGCCCAAGAATGCTGAGCAGATGTGTAGACCAGCTAGCATCACCTCTTACTACCATCTATCAGCACTGCCTAGAACAGTGTCAATGGCCTTCTTTGTGGAAAGAGACAAAATGTAGTCCCTATTCACAAAAGGAAAGAGTATAGCAGAAATCGGCAACTACAAACCAGTGTCACTCCTGTTAATCATTGGCAAGATTCTTGAGACAATAATCTCACTGTAAATGACTGTTTTTCCAAATACCACTCATTTCTTTGTGATTGTCAATATGGCTTCAAAAAAAAAGGTCACACTGCTGATCTGTTGTTAAATATCTCCACTACATGTCACTAGTCACTGATGAATTCTAGGTTAGCTTTGTAGTAGCAAAGGACACTGCTGGTGCTTTCGAATGAGTATGGCACCAAGGACTCTTGACAAAACTGCAACAGGAGTCGCTGGCTCTGAACTATTCCTCCTCAATGATTACCTTCAAAGTAGATCTCTAAGAGCAGCTCTCAACAGGACAGCATCAACAAGATACTCTATTGGTGCAAGTGCTCCACAAGGAGTGTGTGCTTAGGCCATTGTTATGTAATGTTTATTTCGACAACCTCCTACATCTCCTCCCAGAATCTCATGCATATGCAGATAACTGTGCTCTAACATTTACTTATCCTAGAGAGGAAATGTTAGCTGCTCTACATCAATCACCAGCTTATAGCTATATCAGCCTGGAGAAAATGATGGTAGGTCACATTTGCTCCTGAGAAAACACAAATGATGATGGGGAAGTGGTAAAAATGAATTAGTGTGTTAGTACCCAAGGATAAAGCTGATATCCTAGGGGTGAAATCTGACTCCAAACTATAAAGAACCAAGTTGTAAATCTTGCAAACAAATCAGACAGGATGCTTACAGCACATAGACATATCTTGCATCTGCTTGACAGTAGAGGCTGCAAAATTCTATATAAGGCACAGGTATGCTCAAATTTCTTGGACTGCCTGCCCCCCATCTCATCTGTGACTTCTTGACAGAATAGAGAACAGAGCAAGATGACTCATCTCTCACCTGGACCCAACCTGGATAGATCTGCCAAGGCTACTATCATCAAAGTACCAGACTTGGCTCCACTTCGCAGACAGTGAGAAGTGAGCTTCTACATGACAAGATAGGCAGCAAACAGCACCTACATTCCAAATGTACCCTTCTCAAGAACATCCCTTCATCAGAGATCAATTCATTTCTAGGATAACTCAAGGGAACACTGTACATTTTAAAATATATGTAGTTAAAGCAAAAGGTTTAATTCTAAATTCATTTAAAAACTAAAATCATTACTACATTTCATGTGAGGCACTGTGTTCTAATGAAGACAAACTCTATTGTTAAACTTCAGTAAATAATACCTTAAGGACAATTTAAGTTTTGATTATTTATGAACACTATTCTTTCAAGCTATTTTTTTTACAATAGTTCCAATGTTGAGTTTGCTCTTACTATCCATCCACAATACCTAGTATGAACTTTAATGCTCTATTGTGCTTGGACATCTGAAGAAAATGACAGTTGACTGCTGTTAGAAGAAAATGCATAAAAGTGAAATAGTACAGAACAAAGTTAAAACAATGGGTAGACAACAAAATAGGAAGATAAGTCAAGGCTTAAATATTGGTTAGGTTCCATAAGTGAAATAAGCAGGATAGAATTGTCTGATTATTTTAAATGGAAATCTAAAAACAATAAGTAACAAATCTGAAAAAAGGAATATAAAGAATTCAATGTCAATTTAATACATACTCTCTATGAAAGCTTACCAGCAGAATTGTTGGAAACCGTAGACTGTTGTGATGCTTCATCTACTACTGGATTACCATCAGGTCCTATAGAGGGTGGGTTACTGTTATTGACAGTGGTATTGCTTCCAGTATGATCTCCAGTATCCAATGGGGCACTGGATGGTGTTTGTGGTTGTGGAGTGGACGTGGGTGGTGGCATGTTGTTTTGAGGACTCTCACGACTGCTGTTAGGCATCCCTGGCATCCCTGGCATACCAGGCCCATTTGGGTACATCTGAGGTCCCATATATGCACCCATTTTTTGGATGTGCTGCTTTATATAGTGAGAGGTATGTGGGGGAGTATGGGGCCTGGGACCACCCACACTACTAGCCCCTGGCTGACCAACCTGGCTTGACATCTGGACAGGACCACCTTTTCCTGGCATACCAGGGGCCCCAGGCATCATAGAGCTAGGCATACTTGGTCCTGGAGGACCCTGATTAATGCCTTGTCCTCCCCAACCCTGCGTCCCAAATGGAGGATACCCGTATGGCTGGCTGGGGGGAACATGGTTATTGTGCGGGGGCCGTGGAGAGTACTGGTGGCCAGGTGGCATTGATGAAGGAGGGCCTTGAGAACCTTGTGGAGCTCCTGGAGGAAAATTTTGTGGGTATGGCTGCATCATTGGGCCCTGTGGTCTGACTGGGGGGTATTGGTGACCCCCTTGGTACCCTGCCTGCCCATAGGAGGGTCCAGGGGGACCACCAGGGGGCATGTGGCCCATCTTAGATGAATAACCGTGAGGACCAGGAGGGGGACCTGTAGACATGTGCGGTGGAGCAGCAGGGGGGTATCCTGGTGCATGCATGTTGCTGTTGCGACTCTCACTCTGTCCACTGCCAGGGTGGGGGGGCATCACAACGCTCCCCGGACCACCTGTAAATAAAGTTATCTTTTAATAAATGGGGTAAAAAATATAAAAAAAAAATACTGAAAATCTATTATTTTATAAATTATTTTTTTTATTATCACACTGGCCGATTCCCACCAAGGCAGGGTGGCCCGAAAAAGAAAAACTTTCACCATCATTCACTCCATCACTGTCTTGCCAGAAGGGTGCTTTACACTACAGTTTTTAAACTGCAATATTAACACCCCTCCTTCAGAGTGCAGGCACTGTACTTCCCATCTCCAGGACTCAAGTCCGGCCTGCCAGTTTCCCTGAACCCCTTCATAAATGTTACTTTGCTCACACTCCAACAGCATGTCAAGTATTAAAAACCATTTGTCTCCATTCACTCCTATCAAACACGCTCATGCATGCCTGCTGGAAGTCCAAGCCCCTTGCACACAAAACCTCCTTTACCCCCTCCCTCCAACCTTTCCTAGGCCGACCCCTACCCCGCCTTCCTTCCACTACAGACTGATACACTCTTGAAGTTATTCTGTTTCGCTCCATTCTCTCCACATGTCCGAACCACCTCAACAACCCTTCCTCAGCCCTCTGGACAACAGTTTTGGTAATCCCGCATCTCCTCCTAACTTCCAAACTACGAATTCTCTGCATTATATTCACACCACACATTGCTCTCAGGGGTTAAGTAATATAATTCTAGAATTATATTACTTAACCCCTTTCACTGTCCCCCACACAGATCTATGTTACTGATGCCAGAGTCACTCACATATGCCTACATTTTAAGCATAGCACCCTCAAATATGCTGCGAGAGGTAAATTTAGTCCTAGACGTGTAAGAATCTGTGCGCTAAGTGTGAATATAAAAAAAAAATCCTGCCACACAATGCACAGTGGGAACAGCAAACCTATGACTCTGTGTTTGGTTAAAATGGGAACTATGAGGTGTTTTCTATGGTGGTTTTATATGGCTTTATTGCCTGTTTACTGCTATCACTTAATAGAACGGAAGGCATTCTACTGAAATAGAGATCATTTTGGTCTGTTTCAGGTTGAAAGCGGATTGAAATAGAGATCAAAGTGGGAGAAATATTTGACTTATGGTAACTTTCCTGAGGAAGGGCAGCCCCTTCCCCAGTCTGTTTCATGGATTTTTAAAAGTTCTCCTTCCATTATTGGGATGGTCAAAACTATGACCAATCATTCTTATTTATATTTTATTAACAAGAAATAGGGTGAACTTCAATTTTGTGTGATGATGGATTCAAAATGGAGAGGAAGCTATATAAGAGAGGCCTGAGGACATGATTATTGAACATAGGAAAGGTTGCTTGAATTATTAGAATGCCTACGTGTATATTTTAAATTCTGCTTTTAAATTGGAATTTGTTGAATTTTGTGTAAAATTAGCCAAATTACCGACTGCTATGCACTTTATAATGTAGTTCTGATAATTGAATAGACAGTTTCTAGCACTCAATCAATGGAATTGAAGGCATACCTTCAGAAAAGAAAACTACCGTTACAGAAGATTTTTTTAAATGGCAACACTCAGTACTTTTCATCTCAAGGGTTGCAACAGTGAAAGGGTAAAACAAAAATAAAAACTAATATTTTTTAATTTATGCACACATGCACATTTTATATACGTACATACATTTTTTCAACACATCAGCCGTCTCCCACCATGGCCAGGTGACCAAAAAAATAGAAAAAAAACTACAAAGTCTTTCATCTTTTTGCATTTAGTACATGTTAATGCATTTTGTCTTTAATTAAAGTTTACATAGAATATAAAATATAGGGGGTAGAAGAAGACAATATTCAAACAGCTCCAGGTAGAATCTCGAGATTTCCCTGAAGTTTATTCCTTTCTCTGAGGATGAGGGTCCCCAGCTCATATACATATACATATACATACATACATACAGACAGACAGACAGACAGACAGACAGACAGACAGACAGACAGACAGGACAGACAGACACACACACACACACACACACACACACACACACACACACACACACACACACACACACACACACACACACACAGTGCAAAGGTTTGCAACAAGACTAGTTCCAGAGCTATGGGGATTGTCCTACAAAGAGAGGTTAAGGGAAACTGGCCTGACGACACTGGAGGACAGGAGGGTTAGGGAAGACATGATAACGACATATAAAATAATGCAAGGAATAGACAAGGTGGACAAAGACAGGATATTCCAGAGATGGGACACAGAAACAAGAGGTCACAATTGAAAATTGAAGACTCAGATGAGTCTAAGGGATGTTAGGAAGTATTTCGAGTTGTCAGGCAGTGGAATAGCCTAGAAAGTGACGTAGTGGAGGCAGGAACCATACATAGTTTTAAGGCGAGGTTTGATAAACCTCATGGAGCAGGGAGAGAAAGGACATAGTAGCAACCAGTGAAGAGGCAGGGCCAGGAGCTATGAATCGACCCCTGCAACCACAAATAGGTGAGTACAAATGGGTGAGTACACCCCCCATGCACGCACACACACCACCCACCACCCACCCACCACACACACACACACACACACACACACACACACCACACCCATACCCACCATATTATGTAATAAAATAAAGCTATTGGTAAAAAAAAATGAAAAGATGGGATGGTAGGGTAAGTGGAATAATCAAATGTCTTCAGGAAGAAATCCAAATACTCTTTCTTGAAACCTTTTTATCCACTTCTCCGAGGCTGCGGGTCCCACAATTTGCACCAGATGTGGACCCCATTATGCGTGTGCGTTGCGCGCACACACACGTACACACACGTACACACACACACACACACACGCACACACGCACACGCACTACACGCACGCACGCACACACACGCATGCACGCACACACACACGCATGCACGCACACACACGCACATGCACATGCACGCATATGCACACACATGCACACACATGCACGCACACACACATGCACATGCACAAGCACATGCGCACACACGCACGCACGCATCAAACCTCGGTTTTCACATGCCCTAGTTTTCGTACAATTTGGTTTTCGGCAACTTTTTTCATCGAAACTTTGTCCCAGCTTTCGTACATCCGCTTGGTTTTTGTACAGTTGAAAATGGTCCGTACCAAACTCGTTCGCCTGCCCACGAGACTCGGCCACTCATTTCCTGGAATCAAGTGCCCACACAAAGAATCCCATGCATTCATGGCTCAGTCTGCCTTTGTTTCTCGTTGAGTGAGCATCACCCCACGCGTTCATCTGAAACATTTCATAATAATCCGTTGTTTTTTTGGTGCTTGTTTATTGAGTTTGAGTGCTAAATAAGCCACCATGGGGCCAAAGAAAGTTCCATAAAGTTTGATAAAGAAAGCGAGAAACACGATAGAATTCAAGAAAGAGCTCATAGCAAAGTACGAAAGTGGCATATACGTGGTCGATCTCACCAGGATGTATGGGAAGTCCACATCAACGATCAGTTCCATCCTGGCGAAGAAACAAGAAATCATGGAAGCTGATGTTGCGAAAAGGGTAAATGTGCTAATGAAACAGAGATCACAAACAATCGAAGATGTTGAGAAGTTGTTGTTGGAGTGGATCAACGAAAAACAGTTAGCAGAAGATAGTGTTTTGGAGGCGATAATTTGTAAAAATTCAAGGCAGTTGTATGCGGATCTCACAAAGAAAATACCTGGAACGAGTGCTGATCTTAGTGAATTTAAGGCCAGCAGAAGCTGGTTCGACAAACTCAAGAAGTGAACTGGCATACACAGTGTGATAAGGCATGGAGAGGCTGCAAGTTCGGACAAACATGAGGCCGAAGAATTCTGATGAATTCAAGGAGTACGTAGAGGCTGAAGGATTCCTCCCTCAACAAGTCTTCAATTGTAACGAAAAAGATCTCTTTTGGAAGAAAATGCCAAAGAGGACCTACATCACTAAGGGGGAAAAGGTACTGCCAGGACACAAGCCTACGAAAGATAGGCTAACTCTTTTGTTCTGTGGTAACGCTAGTGGGGATTTCGAAGTGAAGCCTTTACTGGTATATCACTCTGAAAATCCCCGAGCATTCAAGAAAAACAATGTCAACAAGAGTAAACTGTGTGTGATGTGGAAGGCTAACAATAAGGAATGGGTCACGAGGCTTATTTTCATTGAGTGGGTCAATGAAGTGTTTGGCCCGAGTGTGAAGAAATACCTCCTGGAAAATCTAAGTGTCACTCAAGTGCCTCCTGGTAATGAACAATGCTCCTGCTCATCCTCCAGGCTTGGAAGACCAACTGTTTGAGGAGTTTAGTTTCATCACAGTGAAGTTCTCGCTCCCTAATACCACTCCTCTCATCCAGCCCATGGACCAGCAGGTCATTTCAAACTTCAAAAAACTCTACACCAAAGCACTGTTTCAAAGGTGCTTTGAAGTGACCTCAGACACTGAACTGACCCTAAGAAAGTTCTGGAGGAATCGCTTCAATATCCTCAACTGCATAAGCCCTATAGATAAGACTTGGCAGGGAGTGACTTCCAGGACGATGAACTCTACTTGGAGAAAATTGTGGCCAGAATGTGTCCTCGAGAAGGATTTTGAAAGGTTTGAGGCTGACCCTGACGACCCTATGCCTGTTGTGGAATCTATTGTATCTTTGGGGAAGTCCATGGGGTTGGATGTGAGTGGCCAGGATATGGAAGAGTTGGTGAACGAAAACAAGGAAGAGCTAACCACTGAAGAGCTGCAGGACCTTCAACTGGAACAACAGACCAGAGCTGAGAAAATTGCTCCAGAGGACGAGGAAGAGAGAGAAAGGAATGTACCTTCTTCAATGATTAGGGACATGTGTGCAAAGTGGAATGACTTGCCAATCTTTGTCGAGAAATATCACCCTAACAAAGCTGTTGCAAGCCATGTCTGCAAGATGTTCATTGACAATGCCTTGTCCCATTTTATGCAAATCTTAAAAAGATGCCAGAAACAGACCTCTCTGGACAGATTTTTGTGCAACAGGGGTCCAGTGACTCTCAAG